CTGTGTGTATTTGAGACATGTTGTCTTCCTGCCCTTGTTCATCGTGCTTGTAAAAGTAGGGGAAATGGTTCTATGATCCTTTGGTTACAGGTTCATTCTAGGACAGGATTCGGAGCTAGTCCTCACTGTCAATTCCAGGAAGTCTTGCTGGTGATAATGTTGCAAAACAAAGAACAGATGTTTTCTGGCCCCATCAGGCAGCGAAGGCTCCTTTTATTTCAGCCATGTAAGAGAGATGGGTTTTTAAATCAGTGTCTTTGAAGTTAAAATTAAATTTGTTTTCCTTATTTTAGTATATCCTGAGTTTAAAGTCTAGATTCTATTCTCATATCAATGAGGAACAAACATGAAATATCTCATACTTCCAATGTATTATCTATAAGTTTAAAATTGTGTGTTTGAGCTATTAATCTCTACACTTGTTAGTTAATCAACCAAAGTCTCTTAATAATAACATTCAACTCCATATGTATTGACTCTGGAAAGGTGTCCTGTACCTGACTGTGGATCCTAGGACATCAATCTTTTGATTACATGGAAATTTAAGAGTTTGTTTTGAAATAGGAAATGTTTTAGTCATTTTACTGATTACAGTATGGTCTAGTTTGCTTCTTCTGTGATAAAACACTGACTAAAACCAACTTGGAGGAAGAAAGAATTTATTTCACCTTACACATTACAGTCTATCATTGATGAAACTCAAAGCAGGAACCTGAAGGCAGGAACTGAAGCAGAGACCATGAAGGTACTCTGCTTGCTGGCTTGCTTCCCTGGCTTGCTCAGCTACTGTTCTTACATAACCCAGGCCCATCTGCCAATGGATAGTACTGCCCACAAAAGTGGGCTGGGCCCTCCTGCATCAATTAGCAACCCGTCAAAAATGCCTTACAGATGGGTCCACAAGCCAATCTAATCTGATGGAGGCAATTTCTTATTTGAGGTTCCTTCTTTCCGTGCACATCTAAATGTGTATCAAATTGACAAAACTAACTGTGACATGATAACAATATATAAACTCACTGTGAGAACAAGAGGTTGGGAAACAGGAAGAGGAAGTTAAGTGTTCTCCTAGGCATATACCCAGAAGATGCTCGAACATATGACAAGGACATATGCTCAACTATGTTCATAGCAGCCTTGTTTATAATAGCCAGGAGCTGGAAAGAACCCAGATGTCCTTCAACTGAGGAATGGATTCAAAAAATGTGGTATATTTACACAATGGAGTATTACTCAGCTATTAAAAACAATGAATTCGAGAGGTTCCTAGGTAAATGGATGGAACTAGAAATTATCATCCTGAGTGAGGTAAGCCAATCACAAAAGAACACACATGGTATTCACTCACTGATTATTGGATATTAGCCCAGAACCTTGAAATGCCCAAGATGCAACTCACAGGCCACATGAAGCCTATAAAGAAGGAAGACCAAGTGGGGGTGATTCGGTCCTTCTTAGAAGGAGCAACAAAATACTCAAGGGAGCAAATATGGAGACAAAGTGAGGGACAGAAACTGAAGGAGGGGCCGTTTCAAGACCACTCCACCTGAGTATCTATCCCATGTGCAATCACCAAAGGTAGAGGATGATGTGGAAGTCAGGAAGTGCATGCTGATAAGAGCCTGATATGGATATCTCCTCAGAGGTCTTCAAGAGTCTGACATACTCAGAGGCAGATGCTCACAACTAGCCATTGAACTGATCATGGGTTTCTCAATAGAGGAGTTAGAGTGAAGACTGAAGGAGCTGAAAGGATTTATGGCACCATGAGGAGAGCAACAATACCAACCAACCACAGCTCCCAGGGTCTAAACCACCAGCCTGGGAGCACTTAGGGAGGGATCCAGCGCTTCAGTTGAATATGTAAGAGTGGAGGGCCCTGCTGGGCATAGGTGGAAGAAGAGAACCTTGACCTCATGAAGGCTGGATGCCCCAGGGGGTGGGAATTTTGAGGGTGGGGAGGTGGGAGTGGGGGGAGTAGATAGAGGTTACATCCACAGAGAAGAAGGAGGAGAGGGGTGAGGGGATTGGGGGTTCCTGGGTGGGTGGGGGATGGGGTAAGGGGACAACATAGGAAATGTAAATAAAACATCCAATAAAAATTAAAAAAAAAAGTGTTCTATACTCCTGTTAGACTGTGCATGTCTATGATGTTTCCTGAATGTATTGTGTTCATTTGGGTGTTAGTGTGGGTGTTGTTGCTGCTGCTGTTGTTTTAAAGTGAAAATAGTGTCATTTTCACTGGTGGCTTTGGAATATGTGTTTCACTTGAGAAGTTGAAAGAGTTTTACAGAAGTGGGTGATACTCTTTTTAGGAAATTTTGCCTTTCAGGGTTTGACTACTATAATTCTGCCTTTATCACTCTCTTTAATAAGAAAACCTCAGTTGCCAGATATGGTGGCATACACAGTCTGTAATTGCAGCACCTGAGAGACAGAGCAGGTAGATCTGTGAGTTCCAGCCCAGTCAGGACTATACAGTGAGACACTGTCCCCTGCCCCCTGAAGAGTTAAAAATAGAAAACTTCTATAAAAAAAAAATCTGTGTAGGCTGCACTTGCAGGACATGAAGACATGCTACCTATCTAAAGAATAAAAGATATAATTTTATTTAATGGGTATTACAAAACTATTAGAATGTTTAGGAAAGTGAGTCTAGGCTGGACTTCTAGGAATAAGCCTGAACTGATAGAGTGAATCTGAAGACAGCCACTACAATGTCTGACTTAAAGACACATCATCTTTGCTGATAAGCAGGGACACTTCTGCCTCTAGAGCCATCCAGATATTCGGCTGGATCTACCCTGCCCCATCATGGATGCCTGAGATCATCACCTCTTTCTTCTCTACCCTTAAACTGAGACAGGCAAACACAACTCCAGAATCGTGTTCCCCATCAGAATGAATTCTGATTGATTTCTGTCTTCCAAACTTTAATTAGTGCATTTCATTGCCAAAACTTAATTCTTGCCTTGAGCCCTTGCTTCAGAGTGTTGTCTAGAAAATGTCATTTTGATTGTCTAACCTCTACCATATAGAGCAGTCCAGGCCCACCTACTAGGAGTCTGGCGTGGACGTACTGACCACTGTGATCACCATGCATCCATTCATCCAGGCTCTTGATATTGGACTTGATATTGTGCTCTTTGTATGTACCCCATATGTGAAAAAGAATTTGAAGGCAAGAGAAAAAGGAACATCTGAAGGGGCGAGCCTACCCTTTGTTTCTCTTCATATATTCTGCTTAGATCATGGCATCTAGATCCTTCTGTCTGTCTCTCTGTCTGTCTGTGTCTGTCTGTCTGCCCTCTCCTTCCCCCACCCCCACTGTGTACCCTGTAGATCATTTCAAGGTCCTATGCATGCTAAGCAAGCCGTCTTCCACCATGATGTATGACAGCACATTTTATTATTGCCTATTTTAAGACAGTGTCTCACTAACTTGCCCAGACTAGTCTCAAACTCATGCTGTAGCCCAGGCTGCAAAACTGAAAGTCTTTGTTAGCTGACTTTCTTTACATCTCTGGTTAATCAAAGCTGGTTGACTCTGTGTCCCCAGTTATCCATCCAACTGTCTCTGTCTGTCTCTGCTGTTCCCTGCTGGTCCACTCTCTTGCTTTTCTCTTCTCAACTGCTGCTTCAGGTCCTAAGTGCAGACACTGCCCCCATCATTGCCACTTGAGAGTCATGCAGTTATAGCATGCCATTTCTCTGCTCAAAGCACATTAGTCAGTTTCCACCACACCTTGGATCAAAGGCAAAATCTCAGCCACAAGCCATAGGATTTGTCTAGCGTTCCACTCCCGCCCCTGTTCCCTCCTCTGCATTTTCACCCCTTCACCCCCTGCATTGCTCCAGCGTCCTCGATGATCTTAGGGATCATGGTGTTTGCTGATCCTTCAGCTTGGAAGCCCAGATAGTCACAAGTCTCACTCTCTCCTTTCTCCAGAGTAGGCTTGGCCATCGCCTGCTCAACGAGGCCTGCCCTGGTCACTCTAGCTGCAGTATGATTCCCCTCAAGCCCTTTAGACCCCATCTTTGCACCATTTTCATAACGCCTTGTACTATATAATGAACTCTGCAACTCTTTTGTTATGTATCTTCCTCTATGAGAAAGTTGACTTTTACTATTGGATCTTCAGTCCTTTGTACAACATCTAGGTACATAGTAGTCATTCACTAAAGGTTAGTGACATGAATACATTTCTGTACACATGCCTCACGGTACACCCATTTAATTATTTATTAGGGATTCATTCCTAGGATGAAAAGTATGCACGAATAGCAAAAAAAAAAAAAAAAGGTGTTACCTGTGTGTCCTTCCAGTGGTTGTCCATGAGCATCCTGTTAGCCTGTGACTCTCCCCGCACCATGAGGTGGCACTTGTTCCTCCAGTCCTCTCACTCAGCGTATCACCCACTCCATGTATTTCACTGGCTCTTCTCTCAATGCTCTCTTGTTACAGTATGGTCTCTCTAGAGCCCGAAGACTCTACATGTGACCTTGGTGAGACCTCCTGTCTCTGTAGGTTAGCCCTCATAATCCACCACCCTTTTTTACTTTCACGATGTCACTTCAGATGCTCCTGTGTTTTATGTTTGTCTCTGTGTTTTATTTCTTTTTCTAATCTGTGTCATTTCAATAAGGAGATTCGCTTGCCTTTTCTGACATTATTGCTAGTACATGTGTGTTTGATAATGGAATAAACACTAGCTATCATTTTCCACTATTATGAATTCTCTCGGTGCAATAGATGTAATGTACATTACTTTTCTGGACTGGCAAATCTGAGCATCTTTTCAAGTACAAACTTTTTTTTTTAAGTAGCTAGTACATGCCAAGTTGATCTGGAAACTTAAATGCTTGACTTGCCTGTCGGTTTGAGGCGGGTGATTCTTGATCTTAACATCCGCAGCCTCCTTTCTCATTTATGCCTGTGTTAGTATCCAGAAACCACAATTCCTTACTGACTCTTGCTTTTTATTTTTTTGTCTCCACAGCTTTTGGAAAGAACCAACACTGATTTTGAAGAATCAGATGGTGGTGCTCTCAAGAGTCCACTCCACTTAGCGGTAAGTGAACAGCTGTGGGAAGGTTCCTCTGTTTGTCTCATAAAGAACAAGTTCCAAAATCTTACCCTGCTCTTAAGATGTAGCCCAGAAAGGCAATGGTCAGTGCTAATGATAACAACAGAGGATTGAAAGCATGGGCTTCTGAAAGAGGCTATCTCACCTTCTAGGTCTGCATTCCCAGCTGGTGACCTTAGATACAGTTATCTACCTTGTCTTCAGTATCCTTATCTGTAGAATGGGAGCAAATAAAAATATGAAGCCTGAATAAAGTTGTTACCACATAATATGTAATAAATGATCACTTTAAACTCTAACCTTTTTTTTATATAAAGGAAACATCTCAGGTAGGAGATTTGATTATAGAGTAGTATGTAAACATTAAACCCAGGAATAATCAAATATCACATTTTCAAATGTCACAGCTAAAACCTGTGTGGGTTTTAAATACAGCTATGTGCAAATAGAAGGTGCAAGTTTAGAATAGCAGCTATGTCGTTCTTCCTGGATTTGCCAGTGGGCCTCAGAGGAGGGCTCTGGCTCCAGTTCTCACGATGAGAGAGCTGGAGGGACCATTATAGTTCTTATTAACAAAGCCTCCTCTTCACCTCCCAGTAATCAAAGGGGAGTGCTTTGACACTCAACCTCTTCAATGGGCTGGGGGAGTTATCACTCCCATAGCCCTGCTTCAGATGGTATCTTCAGCAAATCAACAGCTGTTTGAAAGAGTCCTGCTGCCTGGCAGTCCTACCCAGCCGCAGCTAGCTCTCCTGCCCACTGCTGCTAAAGGTTGAACACTCAGTCATGGTCTGGTGGTAGAGGTGAGGGTGGTAATTAGTTGTATCTTTGTTTAGTAGCTACAATGATACAGGACTCAGGAGGATGGGAAGGGGTCAGGTCTAATTGAACTAGTGCAGTTTACCTATATGATGCCCAAACACTTCTTCAGTGTTCTGGTGAGCCTTTAGAGAGGAATGTTTGATTAATAGACATGGGTGAGCAGGCCTGCAAGGTGAGAGAAGACAAGGCCATTACACAAGGGAGTGTCCAGGGCCAGAGGAGCCCACCCTCCACTGCCTGCCTCCACACATACTTGCCAGGACACCTTCAGAAGCCCACTCAGAGCCTCTAACACACCCACCAACAACACAGCCACTATACAAATAAACAAGTGCACAAGCACACATGCATTTTGAATGCTGTGAAATGAGCCATCCATCTTAGTTCAAGGAGGTAGACTTAAGTGGAGAAGGAGGGGGGACAGTGGGTGTTTCCTATGGACAAAGCTTCATAGCAGTTGGCTCAAGGAGAGCGGGGTTGCTCTTTAGAATCCCTGTGCAGCTGTCAGCTGTGCCTGAGCAAAGCTCCCTAGAGCTCGCTATGCACAGATGTAGCTAGCCCTAGCTGCCCTTAGTGAGGCCACATGGAGCTATTTCCAGCAGAATCCTCCATGCCCTTTGGACATGGGACTAATTGCATTGCTACTGAAAAGAGAGCTTCTAGGTGTCCAAAAATTCTATCATCTTTTTTTTTCCCTTCAAAAAGTATTTGCTTTGTGCTCAGCATGGCCAGGTATGCTCCTGAGCTCTCTGGGTCTCCACTCACATAGAGAAGGGCAGTGGCATCATGATAAAGACTGTGTTTTGGTAGTGCTGCAGCTGGCAGGGGCCTGAGAAGACAGATAGTTCACTGTTCTCATCAGCAGCTCATCCGAACATGGTGTTTTCCACTGCAGATTACAGGGAGTGAGTTAGTTAAGGCTTAAAGACCCTTTTGAGTTGGTCAGTTTGTTAGCTGTGTGATGTTGTCCAGATGCCTAAGGTCTTGTGTCTCAGTTTCCCCATCCATCAGAAGAAAGGAGCTACAGTACCTCATCAGGAGCCATCATGGGAACAGCCTGAGCTCATCCGGGTAAAGCGATTAGAAGAGTGCCTGGTAGCATGTGTGTGCCAACAGACAACTTCACCAGCATCGTATTAACATGAGTCTTCTCCTCTATGTGACACACATACTGGCTGTGAACAATGCCAAGCACTCTTCTAGGAGGAGATATTACAGGGAAGGAACACAGCCTCTGTCCTTTTGAGTTGCTCATTCTAGAGAGATCTTAGGCAAGCAATAGCATGGCAGATGGCAGTAAGTGGTACAAGAGAAAAGAAAATGGAATCCATGTGATGGAATGAATATTGAGGTGCAGATAGAGTGCTGTTTCACAGAGCACAGAATGTAATGCTTGCACAGCAGGACTGAGAGCTAGTCACATTGCTACCTGACAGAGGAAGGTTCTAGGCATAAGGGTCAAACTCTTGAGAAGAGACTTGACATGTCCACAGAACAGCAGTGTAGCTACCACAGAGAGAACAGAGTGGGGAGGGTGAGTGGGGAGGGAGAACAGCTGCCCCAACATCTCACGGGGCTCCTGGTCCCTGGTAAGAACTCTGACTTTTACGCTGAGCAAAACAGAAAGCACTTGTGGAGATTTGAAGAGATAAAGGAGATGATGTGACTTGCCTCAAAGATCACAAACTTATAAAAGAAAGCCAAAGCCAGGAATGAGAATGACTTTGCTCAGAATGATTGCAAGGACCTCCTCTAGAATTATTTCATTCTTCCCTCTACATCAGTGGTTCTCAACCTGTGGGGCTTGACATCTTTGGGGGTCCCATATCAGATATTCTGCATATCATATATTGACATTGGGAATCATAAGGGCAGACAATTACAGTTATAAAGTAGCAATGAAATAATTTTATGGTCGGAGGGTCACCACAGCATGAGGAACTGTGTTTAAGTGTTGCAGGACTAGAGAGGCACTAGTCTATATTGCTAACGCTTAAAATTATTTTCTTCAAGACATGTGTCAATGTGCCCGTCACCATCTCCAGGGTTTGTTGGAGTGTGTTGTTCTTGGGTGAAAGCATTCTAGCAGGGAAATTGAACCAGATGCCCCTAAACCTTGACCCATAAGGAGACCTGATCTGCCTTGAGCTACTATTTCCTGCCTGGATGATTTGAGTCTCTAAGGTTATCAGCTCATAGAATTTCATATTCATTTCATCTACTTGAAAAAATTAAATTAAGAAATGAGGTTATGCAAATGGGAGGCTCCAGCTGCTGTGATTTCCAGATGGACCTGTGGTGTCCCTGAAGTGTGTTAGGCGCCCAGATTCCTTCTTTGTGTCTGCTCATAGCTTCCATCTTAGAAGGCTTAAGCAAAGTAATCATGATTAATAAATATAAGTTGCCTAATGAGATATTTCTTGAAATAAACAATTTTAAAGTTGGATACTCCAATGACATCCCAGCATAGTGAAGTTTACCCCTACCTAGAAGCTATTTGCAATGGTTACAGGCTGGCAAAGGGAAAAACCTTTCTCTCCAATGGAGTCTCACTAGGTACTATCAGCCACACCCGTGGACGGGCCCTCTGCCCAGAAGTAGATGGCCAGTACAAATTGAATGCCAAGGGTTGTCATCCTTGCTAGGTTTTGTTTGGTGGGCTTTTTGTTTCGGCTTTTTTTAAAAAAAATCTTATTGGATTTCTGTTTGTTTTTATTTTCATTTCTTATTTTTGTCTTGGGGAGAAAACAAGGAAATGAGGTTGAGTGGGTAGGGAGGTGGGAAGGGTCTGGGAGGAGTTAGGGTAGTGGAAATACATGTTCAAAATATATTGTATGAAGCAAAAATGGAAGGCAGAAAAGGAGCTGCAAGAAAATGAGGAGACAGGAGAATTCTTCCTGCAGCTTAGTCTGGCTTTGAAACCGTTCTGAGCAGTTTCACGTGCCTTGTACACAAAGTCATCCAGGCTGGGTTTGAGGCTGCACTAATTAGCAGGAGTGAATCTACTGTATTGTATACTAAGCCACTTTAACTTGATAACAGCAAATGGATTGTTTTAAAGTGTGAGGATTAAAGGGGACCATGCAGGGAACAACTGCTTTCATTACAACTGTCCTTCTAAAAAACGAGTCCTGTTTCTTGCCTGGTGTTGCTCCTGTCCCCTGTGTGTCTAAACCTAACTGTGCTAGCCATTGTCCTTTGTGTGTCTACATGCATTGTAAGTTTTTCCTAGGCTAACTTAAGTGAATAGAAATGAAAATGTTTACTATTTTTGTCCTAATGGCAGGGGGCCAGCATTTATTTGACAATAGTGTCTAGACCCTGCCGCTATCTGCTGGGCATGTTTCCCTTCAGCACTGAGTCATGACTTCTCAGTAAGCTGAACCAGTAACTACCGTTTACCAGGACACTGGAAAGTGGGAGGCCAAGGTTTGCAAAGTCAGTTCTCAAAAGAGTACCAGATTCACATAGGGAATGAATTCTAACAGTCTGATTCCTGTGTGGATGTACCTGTTACTCGGTTCTTAGCTTAGATACTTCTGATTTGGCCTGCGTTGGCAATGGTACAGGATATATGGAAAACATTTGACTATTTTCTCTTTGTTGATATTTGGAATTCCCCGTAATACGAGGCCAAGACATGCATCTTCCTGCCATATTGCATGCTCATATTCTCTCTCCAGAGGGCTCCAGGGTCAGCCTGCTTTGCCTGAAACCTACTTCTTCCACCCAAGGCTGCATACCCACAGCACAACCAGATTACTCTGCCCCTCCAGGTCCTCATCAGTAAGACAAGGGTGACAAGAACATCTAAACTGCAGACTGGAGTGAGCTCACAGCAAGCAGCCAGCTAGTGATTACTTCAGAATTTAGGTTACAATAGAGACTTCCTGTCCTGTTCACTTATAGCTCTTAACATACAGGAATTGTTTTCCTGTCCCTAGAGAGGCAGTAGTGTATAGTAAAGGTACAGTAGCCTAGAACTGTGGCCCCAGAGTGTCCCTTCTTCCTCCATAGCTAGGTTCAAGACATTTTACATTTCCACGGAACGTTCTGCAGAAAGGTCTTCAGCATTTGTTATTCAGCCCTTTTTGTTACAGGCAAATATGAAAATAAATGTTTAGCCTTCAAGTCAATCAAGCAGAATTACTTGAAGGAAAGTGTGTGCCTATCAGACTGCAGATTCTGGGTTCAGATCCCGACTCTGTAATGATCTAAGGACTTTTTAACCTCTGAAAACAAATATTTACAGTAGATATAGTGACTTATATCTACAATCCCACACACAAGAGGCTAAGGCAGGAAGACTAAGGGTTTGAAGCCAGCCTAGGCTGCATAGCAAGATCCTGCCACCTCCCAAAAGATATTTATAGATCATAAGCGAGATGTGAAAGTGCTTGGCACGGTGCCCAGCACATAGAAATGAATAGTTGCTATTATCAAAAGCAAATCAACAAATGCATGATTGGTTTTTCATGGCATTAAGTGCTTTGAAGACGAAGTAAGTGGGCTGAAGAGCGGATGAACCTTTTACACATGTGCTGGGATGCTTCTCTGGTAAGGTGCTGTCTGCATAGAGCTACCAGGACAGTCACAGGGCTGTCTGGATGAAGCACTTTCCAGACAAGGAACAGAAAGTGCATTTGCAATGGCCAGAAGAGAAAATTCATGCACTTAACCATAGAGGGCAGGGTGGCCACCCCAGAGCCGGTGCTAAGGCTGCATGCAGGGGAAGGCCAGAACTGAACTCTGGATTGGTCTTGGCAGGTTTGGGATTTTGCTGCTATCAAGAAAAGTAGCTTTGAGCTGAGTTTGAGCAAGCAGTGGCATGGCTTCCAGTTTGACTGTAGAAAGGTTTCACCTGTGAATGGTGTCCATGACAGATCACCAAGGGACAGAGATGGAGGGGACGCTTTTGCTGGAGTTCTGGCAAAACAGTCTGGGGCAAATGTGCGGTGGGTGGACTTAGATGTATCTCTGAGATACAGAAGAAATGGTAACAGTGTCTTGTGAGTGGCATGGAGGGCTGCTACTGATCGCACAGCACCTTTGTGGACTTGAACAGAAATGTGATGTTCTCTGTGTGAGTTAGCAAAGACACATGTTCCTCTGGCCAGATACCACCCACTCAGAACAAGGGAAGGCATAGAGGGTGCTCTTTGTCAGAATCTACTTGCACTACTGTCCCAGATACTTGTTCACGGCTGCAATCAAGGCTTAAGAGTTAGAGATAGAGGTGACATAAGGGCTGTGGTCTGAGAATGAAGTCACCCATTACAGATGGGAAGGCTGCAGGCAGAGGAGGTTTGGGGAAAGAAATCCAGGATTCACTGTGCAGTGCAGATACCAAACGGGGTTGGACCTGTACACTTAGAAGTAAAGGGAGAAGTTGAGACAGGGATATAAATAGGGATTCATTATCATATGATTTATATTACATGTTACATAGAGGGTACAGTTAATATGTACAAATTATCCTAATCATTGGAAACATTTATTTTAACTCATCAACACTCTTAATTCTTATGGATTCTTTTGAACTTAGTTTTTTTTTTTTTTTTGTTATTGTTGTTAACTATACTCTGGGCCAAAATATTATCTAAATTATTTTAGTATGATAATTTAAAATATGCACATAGCTTAATACCCCTTAGTTCTAGAAGTGACCACTATTATTGGTTTTTCTGGTATCCTGAATTTTTCCTGTGGCTATAGAAGTACACACAAATATAAATATGCACACATACATTTTCTTTTTATATAAATGAGGGCATGCTAAATATATTTATTGCCTGCAACTTAGTTTCAAAAAAACCTTTTTTGGACACTTTCTTACTACCCTCCACAAAGGTCATAACAACCTATACACCCCCCAGAGTGTCTAGGATTGCTTCCCACCCCCCTCCACACACAGTTTTAATGCCTAGGTAGTTACAAAATAGCACTATAAACAGTTTACATAGCATTTGGGATGTCTGTTGGCATTTTACGTGTCTATTTTTGTCTGTGAGCTGTATTTTCAGGTCTTTTGCACACTTTCCTAGTTTTCAAAACCACTTCCCAAAGTTCTTTTTATATTAAGAAAATAATCTTTCATGCTAAGTCTTTTGCAAATACATGATGCTTTGAGGAGCAGCTCGGATAAAACTGCACATGGCAAACTCGAGGTCTGTGATGTCTGAGAGCCCTGGGGCAGACTTTTCCTACTTCTCTCTTGTCTCTCTGACCACTTCCCCCTAGACAACCTTACCTCTTTCTCTCTTTTATTTTCAAGATTCTTCGTTCATGTATTGTGGGCGTGGGACTAATATTTTTTCCCTTGTGGACTAAATTAAAAGTCTCAGACTGTCTATCTTGTTTTTAATGCTTCACAGCCTAGGATCCCATAAGAGATCTGAACTTGGCCCTGGCCCATGACCTGTATTTCCCTAACTGGTTCAGTGACTTTGTTATGATCAATGGGGGAAATAACAGGGAAGGAACAGCATCCACTGCGTATCAGATCTTGTGCCACTGCAACTATCTCTCTCCATCTTTGTGGCAGCCCCAGGAGGCAGCTTTTATTGTTCTCATTTTATGGATGAAGATACTAAACTCTAAGTACAATTAAGAAAGTCACCTACATTCTTATGGTTAGTCGCATGATGGGCTATGAGGGACGATTTGCATGTGTAGATTGAATTAAGAGTCCCCAATGTTTTCAGTAATTTCTTCCCTAGCTTTATTAACAGGAAAGATTCCTGAAAATCTTCCTGTAGTGACCACCGATTTGTTTAGGACTCTCCTGAGAGATGAGTGTGTAATTCACACAGTCGTTTGTCTAAATTAGATTGCTAGATTGCAGATCTGATAAACATACACTGACAGATGTGATGCCTTTGAGCAAATTAGTTGACAAGGGAGAAAAAAATAAAGGCATTTACTTAAAACCAGAGGTTCATGAACTGGTGTTCCCGCCTAACTTCAGTTTGCCAGCTTCAGACTCCATCTCAAGTGTTGCCCCAGTGGGCTCTTTGGAGTGCGAGACTCAGGAGGCTCACCCCTCAGGTGGGTTGTTGTGGGATTTGAGGCAAGTAAGGGTTTGATTTGTGGCTTTCTTCCTTGCAGGCCTACAATGGGCACCATCAAGCCTTGGAAGTCCTTCTCCAGACCCTAGTGGACCTGGACATAAGGGATGAGAAAGGCCGGACAGCTCTGTACCTAGCTGCTTTCAAGGGACACACAGAATGTGTGGAAGCACTTGTTAACCAGGGTGCATCTATCTTTGTAAAAGACAATGTCACCAAAAGAACTCCACTTCATGCCTCAGGTAGGTCTTGTTTATTCCTGGGTTTTGCAACTCATGTATAGAGTTGAATAAAAGGATAAAATGGCTTCACAGGTGTAGTGGCATTATAGGACTGTTTAACAGAGGGGCTAGCAAACCAGGAGCTAATAGACACATCATTCTATCAACCTGCACACTGCTTTGCTCAGTTTTCACTTTGACCCTTGACGCATCTGATATCAAAACAGAAACCCTTAACAAGTACGTGTGCACACCAGTCACAAGTGATGCGGCTTTTCTGGAATGTTTCTGCAGTACATATAAAGGGACACTTCCAAATGGGCGCAGATATGTAGGCAAGTTGGAAGAATTTCTGGCCCTGCTGAAGCCTAAGTACCTTTTGGCTCAGACAATTCCATGGCGATAGCCTTTGAGAAGGACGGAATATGACGTTTTTCAAAAGAGAGTAAAGAGTGGGCATGGTCTCATGGAGGAAGTGAAGGAATGAGAACACGTTTCTAAGAGTTGCATGATTCTCACTACTAGAATGTTTTCTAGGAAAGCTAGCCAGTTAGGTATATTTCTGTCAGAACTGATGAGATGCTCACTGGGTGAAGGTTCTTATTGCTGAGGCTGACGGCCAGAATTTGATCTCTGTGACCCACATGGCAGAAGAGAGAACTGATGCCTGCAAGTTGTTCTTAGACCTTTACAAGCATACTTTGACAAACACACAACAAAATAAATACAAATGCAATTAATTATTTGTAAATAAAAAAAGAAGTGCATTTCTATCTCTGTCTCTTAACTTCCAAGCTACTGAACAGACACCATACAGAAATAGAGAAAGCCTACCTGTTGCCTAACTGTCTAGAAAGAGTTATTGCCAGGAAAAGGTCAGTAATGGCTGGTGTGGCCAATTATAAATTTTTGTTTCCCACCAGTATTTATGCTTCTTAGGCATTCCTTGGTATTATCATCAAAATCAAATTTGCTCATTTTAAAGATTGGTTGCCTATTATGAAGCCAGGCAATCCACTTTGCTACTATGTAATTCCTAACAATCGCGAACAGCCTGGATTGACTGTGGAAGGCTGCCCTTTAAATCTGCTGAAGGATGACCATCCTCACCCATTTGCCACTGTGATGTAGGTGTGGTCCAAGGGTGCCCCCTAGCGGTCAAGTAGACTCACTCTTGATTTCCCTCACGCCATCTATTAAAAAGACAGGCTGTCATTTAGCTCCACAAAATGTCTGCTGGGCAGAAGCTTCACCCTGTGATTTGAGGATCAATTTAGCCAGGTTTTCTTTTTTTTTTTTTTTTCAATTCACTTGAGAGGCCAGTTCCTTTGGTTGAGGTCCTCAAAGTTCTGTGAGGAGGGACAACCAGAATGAACGTTGGAGGTTTTAGCACAGTGACAGTTGTAGTCTTTGAGCAGTGTGAAAAATGGCTGTCAAAGCCTGAGCCAGTCTCACGGATCGCTCCAGCTGGCAGGGCACAGCTGACCATGCTAATGTCTTTTTGCTAGAAGGCAATTTGGGTGGATACAGTGTGGGGGAACCCAAGGACAACTGAGGTTGCTACTTGGGGGGGGGGTGCTTAAATTTTCCTTAGGGTTGTGAGCTAAGTTCAAACAGCTACAGTAAAAAGCAAAAGCCTCACTTTAGATGATTTGTGACACACTGGATGACCAATATGAACCAAGATTTTTTTTCTTATGTTTAACCAAAAATGAAACATCCTTGGAGTGGTTCTGAGCATTAAATAATATCAAATATATCAAATTGATACAGAAAAAAAAGCCAAGTCCTATTGATCTCATTCCCTGAACCATTGCTGAGGGGATTTAGCTGTCAGCCCTATGCCAGTCTTTTCCTTTGAGGGATACGTTAAACTCCCTGCAAATTTCAACAAGGTAACAGGCTTTTGTTTAATTTTGAGAATGACAGCAGAGGTAGCAGCAATAAGACGTGCCTGGAACTGCAGTCCATAATATTTCCTCCCGATATGTATGTATCAGTGGATGCTGAGAACAAGCTGAATGGTGTGGCTCATAACATGTGGGCATTGTCCCTGCTGTGCACTTGAATGGTGCTGATGAAAGTGAGCGAATTCTAATAAATGGTGTTCCAGAAAACTATGGAAATTAAATTACCACTCTTTAATGACTGGCAAGTAATTAAAATGACTGTAAAACAGCTCTGAGAGGAGCCGTTCTCAACCCAACCTAACTGTATCCATTCCCTCTCACCATATCCAGAGCAAGGGAAGTTTGGTGTCCTTTGTGGGGTATGTGTTGTTCAGAGGCTAAGCCACAGCTGGAATGTTAAGGATCTTCGTCTTATCCCTGGGTGGATTCCTTGACAGCTGGAAGGCTTTTCAAAAGTTCTCTTCAGTACACCAGAGGAAGTGCCTTATTGTGAGGAGGGGTTTATCCCCCATGAGATTTGCTTCCCAGCACCCATTTAGGCACCACCACCTCCTAAAAGAGCATGTTTAGTTATGCACGAGGCACATCCTGGTACGCATCCCCAGCTGTATGAGGTGGACACACACTTAGGTTGGAGGAGTTATGCTACATTTCCTGCCCACTGCTGGATAGCTGCAGCAGGTAAGGGCCAGCAGCCCTAACTAGGGACCTGAAGATCTCTGGGTTTTCACCCAGCAGGGAGAGAAGGGACAGCAGCTGCACCTGCTGCAGCATTCTTAAGACTCTGCAAGGCCAAGACTGTAGTGTGAGGATCACTAACACTGCAGAGCTCCAGTGCTGGTGAGGAGGGACCACCCAGGCCATGCTTGCTCTTCTGGTTTGGTGTTCTATGTTCAGCCACCGCTAATCAATGAGAACTGTAGCTGGAATATGGATCTTAGACTTCATTGACCTAGAAGAGTGGCCACCACTCTTATTCCTCCTCATCCCTTCTTTCCCTCTCTCTTCCTCCCATCCCTGCTACCTTCTCCTTTTTAAAAAGAGCTGGAGATGGGCTAGACACAGGATGGTTACAGGGAAGTGGAGTGCCTCTCAGCGGGACTGCTGTGTAGGGACACTTACCAGCCTTCCACAAGGAGATAAGAAGCTTAAGAAAAACTCTCTTAACTCTGGAAACAGAAAGATGGAAGTGTATGGATAAAAAGAAAGGGGAGACACCTGGGCCATCTTGAATTGGAAGCCAGGACTATCCATTAGCAGCAATGAGAAATAACTGACTTGAAGCTCACAAATTTCACTTGTGAGAGAGAACCTGCAGTGTTGGTTTATGTAAAAAAAAAAAAAAACTCTATTGTTTTCTTTTTCAGTTATTAATGGTCACACACTGTGTTTGAGGCTACTACTTGAAACAGCAGACAACCCAGAAGTGGTTGATTTGAAAGATGCCAAGGGACAGTAAGTGTTTTCATTTTGGCCTTTTGCTATTGATTGGTTGGCTTGTTGAGTGGTGACTAGGACTAACTGCAGAGTTCTAAGTTAGTACTCTCTGTGAGACTCATCCCCACCCACCCCCTCCTGCCTCACCACCCTAGCATCCCCCTGTACTGGGGCATCAAGCCTTCACAGGACCAAGGGTCTCCACTCCCATTGATGACAGATAAGGCCATCCTCTGCTACATACACAACTGGAGCCATGGCTACTCCATGTGTACTCCTTGGTTGCTGGTTTAGTCCCTGGGAACTCTGGGGGATCCGGTTGGTTGATATCGTTGTTCTTCCTCTGGGACTGCAAACCCTTTCAGCTCCTTCATCCCCCCCCCCCGACTCCCCCTTCGTACACTTTCTAATAATGGCAAAAAGGCATACCTCAAGAGTTGGTTTCTGTCCTGGAAATAAAGAATTCCTTCAGATTTTTATCTTCTCCTGAGTTTGTTTTCAGTTTCTTTCTGTTGGCTTAGTCTTCACCTGGGCTTTTCTTACAAATAGGAAGTGCAGACAGAAAGGCTCTAGGTCTGTCCCCAGGCACATGAGCTTGAGTGACAGCCAGAGCAGGGGCGGCCTTGGTCTTTCTTCTACACTGGTCAGACTTAGCTTCAAAGCATGGAAGCTCTGGCCATCCAGGCAAATCTTGAGCAGAGCCTCATCGGTGTCTATGGAAGCAGAGCTGCTGAGACAGACAGGTGGCTCTTCTGTGTGCACACAGGCCTCAGCCTGTTGGCACCAAGTGGTTGCCACACACTTTTGAAAATGTTAGAATTAGTGTGACTGCCCTTTGTGTTAGCCACCATTCCACGTGGCCCTTAGAACAGAAACAGATCTCTCGTGCTACATGTCATGGAGCAGCGAATTAGATACATAGGAAATACTGGGAAATATTTTAATAGAAAGAAACCTCTCCTCTCACTGGAAGTAGTTTTTGATCTCCCTTTAAAACACTGGTTTCTCTCTCCCTAGAACCCCACTGATGCTGGCAGTAGCATATGGACACATTGACGCTGTTTCATTGTTACTTGAAAAGGATGCAAACGTAGATGCTGTTGACACAGTGGGCTGCACAGCTTTACATAGAGGGGTATGTACATCTTTCTCTACTCCAGTCGGGTACCTTTTCACAGAGCTTGCTTTAGGTTTCCCTATGTGAGGTTTTAGGGGAAAAGATGTTACATAATATATCCAATTAGCTTCAGTCAAAACGAAGTTACATAATTGTATACAATGACACAAATGAACGCTACAGTTTGGTCCTGCTCTTAGGCGTTTGTGTTAGACTGTGATAAGAGATACATGGGTTCCTACTGTTGGAGGGATAGGCTCTTCTCTCTGATTGCGAAGTGCATATTGCAGAAAATTTGCAAAATGTATTTTTTACATACAGAAAATCAAAATCACCAGCAATGATACTTCCTGGAGATAATCATATTTAGTACACACATGCACGAGCACATGCAGATACACACACACACACGCACACACACACGCACACGCACACACACTATGGTCTCTCTTTCTCTTAGTATATATAAAGGACCATTCTCCATGGCATTAAATATTCTTCTGCGTGCTCATTTGTAATGCTCCATTGTGTGCAGCTGCCAAAATGAATTCAGTGATTACCTGGTTTTGAGCAGTCATGCTATTTCTGTTGCTCAGTGTAATGACCGATGACGATGTATGTGTGTCCTGTGGCTGAGTCTTTGTACACATCTGCTGAATTATTTTTTGAAGGACAAAAATAGGCTAACTAAACAAAGGTAAGAATCATAAAATTGCAATGTAGAGGTGATGTAAGCTGGTGACTGAAAGTGTTTTCCATGGCTATTGACATAATCCCCGTTCTTGTTTCTCGGCACTTCGTCTGGGCCATGCAGCAGTCTGGGGAACATTACATACACATGTCCATCAGTGATAGGCTGCCCATACAGCGGTGATCTCATACCGTTAGAATGGAGCTGAAGAAGATTCCTTTCATGTATAACTTCTACTGCACCTTTGCTATTTAGATACACAAACACTTGTGTCCCCACGATGTCCATCAGGGTAACGTGCTGTGCATGTTAGGTTAGGATCCACAGTCTCTCCTGAGACTTAGAGTGGAGTAGCCTTAGAGTGGAGTAGGCTGTGCTTTCTAGCTTTATCTACAGACTCTCTAGGATATTTTCTGAATGCATCCCTGAGCCTACTGATTGTGTTGTCTCTTTAGAGAGATAACATATGAGGTCATTGTTTCTCTGCCCTTTCATAGTGAGTATACTGAGTCAGAGAAAGGCAAACTCACTTATGTCTGGGGGTAGACAACCAGGATTTAACATACTCCTCCTTGATTCTGAAGCTGGTATTTTCTAACATATCATGATATCATCCGTAGTTATGTTTGGAGAGATAGCTCTAAAATACTTCTCCTGGGCTTTTCTGGTAAGGATTTTGCTAGGGTTGTTCTGCCTCCTACCTCTTAGGCCAGGCAGGGGAGGCCTTCCATTCTCAACGGTGCTATCCCTAGCCAACTGAGGTTTGTTTTGCACTTTAATTGCAACATGCCAGATTATGACAGGACATGAGGAATGTGTGCAAATGCTGCTGGAACAAGAAGCTTCAATCCTCTGTAAAGATTCCAGAGGGAGGACACCCCTGCACTATGCAGCTGCTCGGGGCCATGCCACATGGCTGAATGAATTGCTCCAGATTGCACTTTCTGAAGAGGACTGTTGTCTCAAAGACAACCAGGGATACACGCCGCTGCACTGGGCTTGTTACAATGGTGAGTCGAATGTCATCTGAGTGATTCCACTAGACTTTCTGACCTCGAACCTCTGTGACATCTGTGGAGGTGAGAACATTGCTGTACACTGTAGTTGCCAGTGTCTACACCCCAGACATGGCTTTTGTCTGTCTTATGCTGTTTTAGACATCCCTCATCCCCACCCTGTGGCTGTCACAATACTGAATAAAAGTTTAGTTTGCTTCCCTCTTCTTGTGACATGTAACTCTTCATCAGAGTCACCAAAGAGTTTAAGCAATTGTAATCAGAGTTTCTGATCTGTACCAGATAACCAGGAATCAGGCAACATATTAAAACAATGAAGGTAAAAACAAAACAGCGTACAGTATAGTTCCTGTCATCAGTAAACACTTGTGGATGTGTAGTTTATATTTTGACATTTCTTTTTTAATATTCGCATTCCACATTTGCTTTGTTGTGTTTACTACTTAGAATATTCAAATTTTTATTTCAATTATTTGGAACAAAAGAGAAATGAGTGCTAATTGTACCAATTCACAAACATTGAAGTGGGGTGAGGATATACATGGCTCTGGTTGTAGAGTGCTTGCCTAGCATACATAAAGCCCAGCTCAGCTCCCAGCATTGCAGTAAAACAATTATGGTGGCAGTGCTGTAACCCCAGCCCTCAGCAGGTGTGTGCGTGTGTGTGTGTGTGTGTGTGTGTGTGTGTGTGTGAGAATCCAAAGCTACCGTCAACCATGTAACAACTTCAAGGTCAGACTGAGCTTCCTGAAACCCTGTCACAAAATTAAAGAAAGGAAAACTAAACTAGCATTTTCTGTTTCCAAATCCACTTTCTGATATAATTTTGTACGTATGTCTCATAATTTTCTCTCTGAGATTATAAATAAAAAATATGAGTATACTTTAAGTGGAATTATATCACAAATCTCATCCCATAGCTTTCTTTCTTTTTTATTAGTGCTCCCTTAAAATGACACTGAAGGCTATCCTTAGACCCCATATGCACCAATAAATAATTTTAATAGTAATATACTGATAGATACACAACCCCGCATATACACTCGCACACATACATTCACGCACACGCACATTCCTCAGAACTTGATTTTTATTCAACCAGATTCCCCTCTGATGGACTTTTAGATTAATTTTAGGGTTTCTTTCCCACCATAAACACTGTGACAGTGTGTACTCATAACATGAAAAATCTCATTAAAATTTAGAAGTGAATTTTTTTAAATAAAAGGCATGTTTTTAAATTGCAAGGAGTAATATTTTGCACAAAAGGTTGCCCTAATGCGATAAAAGTATTTTTGCTACAACTTTGCCAGCCCAGTATGATTCTATGTCTTTATTTTTGGTAGCTTTTTCTTTAAGTTTGCATCTCATAACATAATGCTGTATTTATTGCTATTGTTCCCTTTCTGAAGGTGGCCTTTCACATGCCTGCTTTCTCTTAGTGAGCAGCTTACCTCTTCCCTTGCATCTGTAAGAGCAGGGTGTCTTAGCTATGTGAATCTTCTGCATTATATGTGCAGGTGTTTCTGTTCCTTGTTTTGAATGAGTTTCCATGCAGATGTTTTGAGATTTTTGTGTGGGTGAATCTATTTTGTGGTGTCTCTGTGACCAGCCTTAAGAAGATCTCATACCTCCTAAGATAATGGACATCTCCTATGACTATTTCCAATCATGCTTCTTCAACTTTATATTTGCATTTCAGTTTCACTAGGATTTTTAATTGGGAAATTGTGATTATATTTTCTGGGAAGAGTTTCTGTGTTCAATTACATTGACTTAAAACTGCCTGTGTTTTCATTAGTCTTCTCCTTCATTGATCCTGCCTTAATAAAAACTTATTTTTGCTCCTCTTCTACCATTGGCCAACTGTAAATTTTTTACCTAAAATAATTTTTTAACCTACAACTTGTGAACTCTCTCTGGCAAGGGAGAATCCACAACAGGAAAGGAAAGGGTAGCCACAAACCACATCCTCTCCCTGGGGCCAGGTTCAACTTTCTGCTGCTGAGCCTTTCCAGGTGCAGGCAAAACAGAGCAGACTTTTCCCCAAGCATCCTCTCTTCCAGGATTCTAGAGCAGCCTCCCTCTCTGTCTGAGGTCCAAGCTGCCCATGTCCCTTCCACTGGGCAATGTGAAATGTTGAGAGTGGCATGTCACTCTTCAGTTTCAGCTGCAAAGACTCACTCTCCCACTGAGGAATGGAATGTGCTCGTGTTGTCCTAAGTTGGTCCTTTGGGGGTTCATAATACGAATACAGAGGCTACGATGTCTGTGGCCACTGGGCGATGTTTGGAGGCAGATAGAAAGCTGGACAATACCGTTTACTTGCTAGGGGTTTCATATGCTTCTTAGTCCTCCCCAAAGCAGTAGCAACTTGTCTCTTTAGTTACAAGAAAGGTTTTGTTTGTACTTTAACATTTCAAACCACCTACATGGGAAATTTGACTAAATTAGCCCTAAGGTCAATTAAGAAGAGGTTCTGGGATTATGATCTGTGGTAAAGCCAACTAGCCAGCCATGTCTTCCTGCCCCAGAATTGCACTACAAATTCTAAAGTATGCTCAGGTCCTTTATAAAGCTATATCATTTGTGACATAGGCAGATATGTACAGGAAACTGAGGCCCCAAAGAGTCACAAATAAATTCTCAGATCATGTACAAATAAAATGGGCTATGCTGGGTGGTTTTTAGGTCAACTTAACACGAAGTCGAGTCATTTGGAAAGAGAGAAGAACCTCAATTGAGAAAGTGCCCCACCCAATTGGCCTATGGGCAAGCCTATGTGGATTTTCTTGATTAGTGATTGATGTGGGAGGGCCCTGCTCACTATGGGCAGTGGCACCCTGGTCTGGTAGTCCTGGTGCTATAAGAGAGCAGGCTGAGAAGCCGTGGGGAGTGAGCCAGGAAGCAGCTTACTTCCATGGCCTCTCCTATTGTTCCTGTCCTGACTTCCCTACATGCTGGACTTGGACAAGCTGTAAATTGAGACAGACCCTTTCCTTCCCAAGGTGCTTTGGTCATGGTTCTTTATCGCAGCATCGGAAACTTTAGTTGTTAAGAGTCTCCTGTCGTTGCTGTTCACCTCAGTGCCTCACATTTCACATTTACTCATGTGCTCACTTTAAAGCACTCATTGGGTGCCTGCACAGACGCCGCTGCAAACACGGCCACGGCGTTTTACACTTACAGCCCTCTTTGTTGTTTTCTACAAGGCACATGCCCCTTCACTTGCATACATAAGAGTAAGTTAAGCTATTTTATGATTGAAAGGAAATTCCCTATTATAACCACAGGAAAATTGAGGCCTGCTGATGTTAGGGTTCTATAAAGGGCTGAGGGTGACTAAGATCTATTCTGCCTGCAAATGAGGTGTCTTCTTTATCGCTCTCCAGCAGCCCACATGGCTTCACTGTTTGATTTGTTCATTGTATCTCAGAACACCTGTGAGCATAGTTAATAACATTTTAGCATTTTGTTTTATTCTACAGAGAACAAGCATTCAGCCCAATACTTAATGAGGAATTAAAACCAAACCAAACAAAACAACAATAAAAAACAAACAAACAAACAAACCCACCAGATTACGTTGAGCAAAGTTTCTTTCTTTCTTGGGAGCACTCTAAATTTGTTTATTTTTTGCAGGTAATGAAAACTGTATAGAGGTACTTTTGGAGCAAAAGTGTTTTCGAAAATTTATTGGTAATCCCTTCACTCCACTGCACTGTGCAATGTAAGTAGAAACACTGGGAAGGCAATGGAGCCGCTTCTGTTCCTTTAACTGCATGTAGAAAAAGTGCCTTTTATGGGTGGAAAAAGCATTTAGATTGCAGATAAGGCTAATATGTTCTATTCTCCTGCTAAAGACAAATAGGCCTGCTAGCAAAGCATGCGTCCCATGTTAATGATTTTCCAGAAGCCACACTTCCAAGGTGACTCATGCACCAGATGAGGAAACTGAAGGTGGTGGCCTGAAAGGCATGGTTCATAGATGTGAAGGGACCTTCAGTGGTAGCCCCCATTGTCCAGCAAACTCTGAAAAATAAGTCAATGTTGATACTAATATATCTGTAGCTGGTTAGAAATTTTCTACTGGGAGACTTTTCTTATAATTCTTCACCTTCATCCTCATCATTCTTCCTTCTCCCATCCCCCTCCTCTCTTCCTCCTCCTCATTTTCCTTCTCCTTCTTTTCAAATGTAATTGTTATTGCAAGTTTATAGAGAGAAATATTGTTGAGAGAATGCAGTGACCTTAAGTCAGAGTCCCGTGAGTCAGCCTGGGGTGCAAGACTTGGAAGTGCTTCGTCTTTACATTGTCTGTGGGCTTCCCATGAAACTGGGTCATTTGACTGGAAAAATACTAGAGACATGAAATCAAATCAGTATAGAAAGAGTAGGTTAGAAAGAATCAGAGTGATTTTAGGGGCTGGAGAGATAGATCAGTGATTAAGAGCACTTGCTGCTCTTGCAGAAGACCCAGATTTGCTTCCCAGCACCCACATGGTGGCTAACAACCATCCATACCAGTTTCATGGGATCTAGTGCCCTCTTCTGGCATCCTTGGGCGCTAGGTACACATGCAGTACCTATATTTACATGCAGGAAAAACACTGATACACATAAAATAAAAATGAACAAACCTCTAAAATACTAACCAGGATGATTTCATGTGTGAAGGATCTATGTCTTTTCCACTTTGATGTCTGGATGTCACCTACTTGGGACCTCATGTGAGTGCTATTCCAGGAGCTCTTACAAACACAGAGATCCTCAATGGAAACAGCAGAGGGGTTCAGTGTACACTATCATAAGCATGCCACAAAGATTGGCATCGAATTTCTAAAAATATATCAAATTGTTGAATGTGCAGTGCTTGTAAAGATGAGGTATGAAGGTCTGTATAATTTTAATGAGTTTTTTTATACTAAAATCTATTTTCATTTTAGAATAAATGGTCATGAGAGCTGTGCATCATTGCTCCTGGGGGCCATAGATTCCAGCATTGTCAGCTGTAGGGATGACAAAGGCAGGTAAGCAATACAAGGAGTCATACTCTCAGTCTTGAGCCTCAGCCTTTGTTTCAAATTGTAGACTAGAAAACCACTTGCTTTTATTTTTATATAAACTTACTTTTGGTAGTGCTAAGAATTGAATTCAGGGCTTTAGACAAGCCAAAAATACCACTGAGCTACATCCCCAGCCCTTAGGGTTTAGAGACAGAGTCTTGCTGCATAGCTCAGGCTGGCCTTGAACTAGCTATGAAGTCCAGGCCAGCCTCAAACTCATAATCTTCCTGACTATATACATGGACAGCCCTTGGCCAAAAGAAAAATATTTTTAATTGAAAAAGTAAGGCATAGTATGTTTTTAAATCAAGTATTATAAGGGGTGTAGACTTTTAGAAATTGTCCTTCTTGGTCCAGAGTCTCAAGCCTCTGCCTTATAGAAAGCAAGTATACATTGATTCTTCCCACTGTTTGTATTCTCTTAAATGAATTGCACACACCCCTACAAAATAGACATTAAATATATCTATGGATTATTTCTATGCAAATGGATTTTTAATAACTATGTTCTACTTTTAGTGTGTGTGTGTGTGTGTGTGTGTGTGTCTTGGAGATCTTTCCATACTAAATATAAAGATTTACCTTGCTCTGTAAAGCTGCACATTATTTCACTGAATGAATACATAGCATGTTGCCTACCTGACTTCTTTAGATGAATATTCATATTGCTTTCAACATTCTGCTATTTCTATTATTCTATTAAGTGGCACAGTGTACACACATGTGTAAACCTGTTGACATAAGCAAGTGTATATAGGAGATGGAATACTATGAATGGAGTTATTTCATCAAGGCTAACATTTTTCCTACTCGATGAGAAATGTCCAGCTGCCCTCTGCAGAAACCCACCATCTGCATTATATGATGCTGGCGTTTAAGGCTTTTTAGCTAACCAACCAACTAGTTACAAGTTAACGTATAATATTAAAAGTATCTGTCTGCTAGATAAGTGGGAACTCACCAGAACTCAAGATTAAAGGTCAGAAAGACACTGATTTCCTTATGGGGCCATTGCATAAGCCTCCCCTCGAAATCTAAGTGGAACCATCCATGTAGGTGATACTTCAGTAACCATCCTAAGAAATTCTTTCTAAGAACTCTGGTCATCAGCCAAGAAGCTTTAAATCTTTAGAAAACACCGTGCACTTGTGTCTTGGTAGTTTCTGCAGACAAAGTTGAAAGGCAATAAATTCATGTGTGTTTGAAACCTTCAGGACAACTCTCCATGCGGCAGCCTTCGGTGATCATGCGGAGTGCTTGCAGCTGCTTCTGAGACATGATGCTCAAGTGAATGCCATAGACAATTCAGGGAAAACAGCGCTGATGATGGCTGCTGAGAACGGGCAGGCAGGCGCTGTGGGTATGTACTTAGGCTGTGGACAAGAGCCAGCACTGTTCTATATAGACATCTGAAAGGGACCAGTTTACTGAAGTCACCCATGAACTCAGTCATCTCCAGCTCTTTGTGACTGCATCACTGGAGGACTATATCCAAGAAAGCTAACACTTGAATGAAATTGCCCAACATTTAGAAACGAAATATAATAGCAGAATCATCTTGTCTGGAAATCCCAACACTGCATTTGGGTTCAGCCTAGAGGCTGAGGAATGGTGGAATAGCAAAACTCTGCAGGGAATTGGCACTAGCCCACCCAGCACCCATTTGAATAGAACAAATCTGGCAACAAACTGTTCTTTAATTACAAATGTTGAATATTATTGTGATCTGTATTCGTTTATGTTGTTTTGTAGCCACACTGAGCTGTGTGATCAGCATGCAGTCTAAGTAACTTTCTCCTGGCTTTGTCTGTAGATATTTTGGTGAACAGTGCCCAGGCTGACCTGACTGTGAAGGACAAGGACTTGAATACTCCCTTACACCTGGCTATCAGTAAAGTATGTACTGAGTTTACATCACTGTTGCTTACTGTCGCAATCAGAACAACAGTACCTGGGACCTCTGTCCACCTGGGACCTACATAACATCGGTTTTACTTAGATGGCCATGTCCCAGGATACTGTCAACTGTACATGAAAATGAAGGGAGAGAAGAAAGGAGTAATACAGTAAAAAATATTAAAGAAAAAAGTCCCGTTGTAGGGTTATTCCTGCCTTAGACCATTTATGTTCTTGAATTAAAGAAGTTTGATATGCCTTAGGCAGCACAATGCTGTTAGAATCTACCTTTCTATCAATAACCCCACTATTACCTCCAGTGCTTCATCTGGGCTGCTCTTAGTTCCAATTAGGCAGCCCTCTGGGCCACGTTCTTTTGGTCCTTAGCCCATGGTGGTACTCTCTCTCTCTCTCTCTTGCATGTTCTTTTTCTATCCCTGTGGCAGCTTCTCCTGTTCCTCTCTGCTTTTTCCTCTAAGGCCACCAAAACTCAATCCCATGTATTTCTCTTCTCCCCAGCTATTGGCTGTTGGCATCTTTATTCACTGTCTTAGTTAGGGTTTTACTGCTGTGAACAGATACCATGACCAAGGCAAGTCTTATAAAGAACAACATTTAATTGGGTCTGGCTTACAGGTTCAGAGGTTCAGTCCACTACCATAAAGGCGAACATGGCAGCATCCAGGCAGGCATGGTGCATGAGGAGCTGAGTTCTACATCTTTATTTGAAGGCTGCTAGCAGAATACTGACTTCCAGGAAGCTAGGACTAGGGTATTAAAGCCCACACCCACAGTGACACATCTACTCCAACAAGGCCTTACCTCCAAAAGTGCTACTCCCTGGGCCAAGCATATGCAAACCATCACATTCACCTCACCAGTTACAATCAACTGAGGACAGGGTCACTCATTGTCTTACTTGAAGACTCTTTTAGCTTTGGGCAAACAACTTTTGGGGCTCTAAATTAGCATTAGAATATAAGCAACTTTAGGCCAACCCACTACAGGGCAGAATTCTGGGTTGGATGTACACCACTGATCAAACAGAATAATGAAGAAGACACATTTCTCACATTTACCATAGGCAATCCTACCACACATTCTACCTGTCTTGATGCTGTTTCTCTGGTTGTAGTTTCATATTTTGATACCACACAACAGGTTAGGACATTAGCTATATGGCTTATAAACTCTAAACAGTTTCAACTGAGTTTTGTTTGAAGGCATTGTGAGAACAGAGCCCAGATCATGGTACTGCAAAGCACTATCCATGTGCAAAGCACTATCCATGTGCACTGTCACTGTTTTTTCCTGCATGTGTCAATCAATGCAAAAGGTGTGGTAGATATTTTTCCTCCCATACATACAAATGCCTCTGTGTGTGATTTTCACAAAGTGCATTATAATATATGTAGGTCCCAGTTGACACCACTGGTGTCAGAAGTCTCAGCCATTCCTCTCATTGGCTATATTTTGTATTCATTCTCTGGAAAGAACATGGAAACATTAAAAGTGCTCAGAATCTGGAAGTTAATGTCAAAGCGCAGTGTGTTAGTACTGAGAACTGCAGTGTTTTACAGACAGTCTGTCCGTCCCAGAGACAGTCAATCAACATCTCTAACATCTCTAACTCCTAGATGGTACTAACAATGATTGTCTATGCCCTTCATTAGCAAAGGCTTAGTAATCCATGACCCTAGACCTAATTGTTGATATTTTAATTATCAAGCATCTATTGCCATATTATGATCAGGAGATCATTTCTTAGTTAAGGAAAAACCATACACCAGAAACAGGGTTTCTTTAGAGCATTAAAAAGAAGTGAAGCTATGTGATACAGATCTCGGGTGTCATGGTAACTCCAGGGGAAGTGGATCACTGGAGCAGTAATGGAAGGCTTGAAGAAGGAGGAAAATGTTGTATGTTTAAAAGGCAGTGACAAAAGATTCAAAGGCTGCTGCTGAGTCTGCCCTCCACCACTCTCTGACCTAGCCAGGCTTGCATTTGCTTTCACTCTCTGGACATTAATTTTAAAAACTACCTTGGAAATATTCATATTAGAGATGAATATTTTAGATCAGTCACATGTTTAAAAAGTCGTAATAGGCCCCATGTAGATGCTTAAGAGTATCTTGGGCTCATTTACTTTTTAGAAAGGAATTACTCAGAAAATAGTCTTGAATGTTTTCAGGCACAGGAAGCTGGTACTCAATTGAAAGTACAATCAAGTAAGCATTAAGGAGATTTTTCTATATGTTCTTTCTCATGTTTCTTGCTCTTCTTTTTTCTAATCAGGGCCATGAGAAATGTGCCTTGTTAATACTTGACAAGATACAAGACGAGAGCCTTATCAACGCAAAGAACAGTGCACTGCAGACGTGAGTGTGGCAAATGTAGCTCTACTTGGGCCCAGAGTCACAGGATTTTACTTGTATTTATTCTTTGGGAACTTCTTACATGTGTACAGTGAAATACGGTCATATCCACCACCATTTTCCTCCTCCAACTCCTCCCAGATCCCCTTAGCACATCCCTGTCCCAATTAACCATTTTTTCAATTAACCTATTAAGTCCAGTCTGTGTGCATGCATGTGGACCATCCATTGGAGCATGGGAAACCTACCAGTGGCTACATCCACCAACAATGACTCTCTCCCTGCTCCACTGCAACCCCAGCTATAGACTGCAAACAGCCCCTCAGTAAGGGGCAGGGCCTAGCCTAGTGATCATCCATCCCATTGATGGTGGGATTTTGCATATGCAGTTCAGCACAGCTACTGTAAATTCTTGAATGCAGTAGTTGGGTTATGTCTCAAAGACAGCATGCCACAGCTCTCCTCCCCATCCTCTTCTTCCCCGAGGTATTCCCTGAGCTTGTGGGGGAGAGGGGATAAAGATGTTTCATTTTTATCCAACACCTATTAAAAGCTGGACACATGTTAATCCAACTCTGAGAAGTAGAGCAGTCGTGGGTGCCAACCTAGCTTCACCTTCATGAAATTTATGTACACACACCTGCAGTGTTGACTAGAGATGCATGAGTTTAGGTAGAACTCTTATTTTGATATGACTCATAGGATTTGTAAGATCTTTGTTCTCTTTAGCAGTGTTGCTGTACTTCATGATAAATTTAGTGAGCTTTTGGAAAAATCTTCTGGGCTTACGAACTGACACATTTGGGGAAAGTGTTTGTTTTATGTATTAGTGTTATGTTGTCTGACTGGAAAACGTCAGATTTATAAATCATGTTCCCAGAATACATTTGAACAATTTCTAAGCTATTTGTCGTAATTATATTTTAATATAATTCGATGGAGCCATTGTTGTGAAGGATCAAAAAGCTGTTTTGTTTTCTATTTTTGGAGATTACTTGTGCATTTGTGTTAAAGGCAAATAATATTAGAGGTTTTTTTTCTTTTAAGATTGTTAAAGGACATGGCACATTATACTGAGCACAAGACTCTTTTACAAGGTGCTGTAATCCAGTGAGACATCTATGAGCATGTTAGAATAAAAAGATCTGAGAGTATATATTAATACCACTCATCCCAATGAACTGTGTGAAACAGGGACACAAATTAGCCAGTGAAGGGCCTTTACAGAATCCAGCAGAGCTTGGATTCTTCTTCCGGTCTCCTATACTGTCACCAAGACTGTTTAAGATACAGGCTATTTATAACACTGCACAGAGATCTGAGCCAAACACAGAATAACTGAATCAATAATGCCTGGAAAAAGTGTGGTCAACATGTCTCTTCTCAAAAGCAAAAATAGCCATGTGCTATTTGTAGATTCTTAAGTATAGCTTCCTTTTGGTGACATAAGTTAACCAAATGTGACATTTTTTTTCTTTTCTTTTTTTTTTTACTGAGAATTGGTCTTCCTTTATATCAAATACCCCCAAAGAATCATAAAGAGAAAAGGCTTGTTGGGCTCATAGTTTTGTGTTTCAGTTCATGATTGCTTGGCCCCTTTGCTTTGTATGAGGCTACGCATTTTGACAGGAACCTGTAGCTGTAGTTATTCACCCACAGGACAAAAAAAAAGTGTGAAGGACTAGGGTCTTACAGTGCCTTCAAAGATGTGCTCCAGTGACCTGAAAATTCTCACTGGGCCCCACAGAATCTTGCAGGATCGCCATCTCCCTCCCCTACCAAGCCCAGGGACCAAGCCTTTAGCATGCAGACCTTTGAAAGGTCCCAGCTTTACCACTCACAGAAACCTTATCAAGGCTGATATTCAGTGTTGTCTTTCAGACCCCTCCATATTGCTGCACGCAATGGCTTGAAGGTGGTAGTTGAAGAATTGCTGGCCAAAGGAGCCTGCGTACTTGCTGTAGATGAAAACGGTAAGTAAGACAATTTAAAAGTTGATGCAGGTTGTGTTGGCTGAAGCCAGAGGACAGTGAGAGATTAGGGTTACTTATGATCGAGTAAGAGTTTTCTTTCTCTTGGAAGTATCTTGTGTGTAAGAAATCAAGCCCAGGAAATATGTTCCATCTGTCTTTCTGTACAGCACATTGTCTTCCTATAGCCCACCATTGCACTCCATGTTGCATGTAACATTACCAGCTGGGCATATCCCAGTCAAAAACCTTTCAGCTTGCCCTTGGAATTCCCAACTGCATACACTAAGGAGTAAATGAAGCATGAATCATTGGTGCACACTCCACAGCTCTACAGAGACAGCTTCGCATTTCAGTTCATTCCGAGATCAAACGTCTTTGTAAAATATGTATCAGGACTCACATTCCTCATAGAGAAAGCTGAGGAACATAAGTAAAATGTTTTAACTAAGATCTAGGCTGGACGTTTCTCCTGTCATTTATGGCTTGCCTTCCCTAAATGAGCTAATTCTTATCGTAAGCCTTCCTCTCTCCTTCTACAACATTATAAACACTAACAAATACTAGAATTCTACTAAAAGACCTTTGCACATGCAATGCCTCTTAACCCTGGGAAGCAAAAGAGGAACTCGTGGATATTTATTAATTGAGTAATTTTTGCAGTGTGACATCTAATTAAAGTATTCTGGTATGTTAATGCTACTCAATTAACTGCTTAATACAGGTACTGGAATTAGCAGCACATGGCTATCTCTCAGAAGTAAGCAGCCACAGTAACATCTTAGCTGAGTCTTTAGTTTTGTTCTTGCAGCCCCATGTATCCTGGCCTGTAACCCGCTCTCTCCCCAACGTGGCTCACCTAGGAAGTACAGAGAGTTCTTTTAACCTCGTGTCCTTCATTCTCCACCTTTTCTTCCTCAACTTTGATCAAAGCTGTATACCTTAAGCTTAGCATGAACATATCCACTGTTTTTCTCCAAAATGGAGATGCTAGAATAAATGGGTATCATCATGTGTTTAGCTCTAGTCTGTATCCATGGATACAGGAGCTCTGTGTCACTGAGCCTGCCTTTCTCAGAGTTTTCTCTGTGCCCAGTGGCTGGAAACATTTGGAGACCATTCTGTGCGACACTGCACTAACAATCCCTTCACTCATCACCTCCATCCCAGAAATAGTGTTAAGACACTGACCCTTTTCATTTGTTTTCACTCAGTAAAGATGAATAATCTCTGGGGCTGACCATCCAGAGGGCTTTCATGTCCAGTGACAGGAGACAACAACCAGCTTTTTTTTTTTTTTTAAAGATTTATTTATTTATTATATATGAATACACTGTAGCTGTCTTCAGACACACCAGAAGAGGGCATCAGATCTCATTACAGATGGTTGTGAGCCACCATGTGGTTGCTGGGATTTGAACTCAGGACCTCTGGAAGTGCAGTCAGTGCTCTTAACCACTGAGCCATCTCTCCAGCCCCCAACAACCAGCTTTTGTCAGAACAGATCCTCCGATTGACTGAGAAAGCTCACTGCTCATTGTGGAAAGGGATCTTTGGCCAAAAGAATAAAAGTTGGATAAGGATAGCAAGTACATCTCAAGGGCAGCTCAATCCTTAGGTTGTGTGTTACTATGGCAAACAGTCATTTGTCCCGCATTTGTGATAGTTCAGTTTTGTGGCTTTAGTTGATGAAGTGACTTTTTTAAAGGTCTATTGAAATTCTCTTAAATGGTTGTTACTGACAACCAGCTTCCTGTGTCTGATCTCTTCAGGTGGTTTTTAGGCTCTTGGTCGGTTTGGTTGGTTTGTTTTGTTTTTTAGAGTAATAAATTGGTGTGTGCTTTCTATGACGTGTATGTATATAAAGTGACATCGGCTACTGGTTTTACCCTTTCTGCTCGAGACATACATCTGTCATGGAAAGTGGCTACACTCAGAATAGAGGTCCTCTGCCACGTTGATGGCTCATGGTGTGCTCTCCATGGGAACTCCCTCTTGGATGCCCTATTGCTAGTTTTGTGGCTTGTGTCCCCTAAGTCCCTTCCTTGCCATGTGTTTCTGTCCTCTAGATGAAGGGTAGAATCTGCCTTACTTGGGATAATATTGTGCTTTCTGTAGACAGATGAGGCAGAACCAAACCCAGACTCTCCATGAAATGTCACGTCCTCCCTGTCCCACTCAAGTCTCCCCCCAACCCCCAGCATGACTTGTGAGAAGTAATTCCTCTTACCTGGCATGAATTCTAACTCAACATGCATCTCCACTCACAGTGTTGTAGGAGATGTACTGTGGAATGCCATGCAGCTCTGGATCCCCAGGACTAACCACTGCCTTGTCTGCATTTATGCCCAGGTCATACCCCGGCCCTGGCTTGTGCTCCTAACAAAGACGTGGCTGACTGCCTGGCCCTCATTCTGGCTACCATGATGACTTTTTCTCCTTCCAGTACAATGACGGCTGTCAACTTCGTTTGTTTTAGAAAAGACAATTTGAGCAGAACGACCCTCTCCAATCTGGGTAGTAGGGTTAGTCTGTGCAGTAACAATCTTGGCTCTGAGGATGGGTACAATGAAAATGATTCTGATTCGGAAACATTCTGACTTTGGACAGTAGAGGTGTTTCCCCCAATACCTGTGTTTTAGGAAGGGATGGAAGCTTGAATTCCAGGTTACACTGTGTTCAGGCATTTGAGGCCAAGCTTCCAGAAGCCAGCAGAAAAGGAGTCAGTCTAACCAAAAGAGGACAACTAGGCCATAGGCTGAAACACACACAAATGGGCTTGGGCTTTGTTTTGCTTCATGTTTTCTTCAGGCCTATGGTACTTCTATGAAAGTCTACCTCTCATTTTATGTAAGGACAAAAAATTAAGTATTCTTCATCTTTGGGGATAATGCAACAGAGAGACAAATATTCAGTCTAAAGATTTTTTTTTCACCAGTTAGTTCTGTGAGGTCAGTCAAGGTGACATTCATTTCCCCTAGGAGGGGCGGGAAGAGGAGATGGGAAATGCCTGGGCCCTCTTCTCACTCTGATGTTTACTTCCTCACTAGAAGTCAAAGGACAAGGTTCATCTTTAGATATAATGCCTATAATTGTCCTCTTAAGGAAATCTGCCTGACGCCACCTCGTTGTAGGAAGCATATAAATGCCTAGAACCTCTTCCTAGGATCTCAGTTAAAGTTGCCAGGTGAATGTGAACATCGTTCATGCTTTTTTGTTAAACATAAATGAAATAGCACCCAGGGCTCCACATAAGAAACATGTGAGTCATTTTTCAATGGAGTAATGGATCCCAAATTTATCCAATAACATTTCAGGTGAAATTATATTGTGCCAAAACTTGAAACAATATGCAAGTCAAATAGGAAATTACCATTCATTTGAATTTGCTCTAAAATGAAAGTACTAACTTTATAAGGGCATCAGAATGGCTGGTACTGTCCTTCAATAGTAGGATAGCAAAGTAGCTGCTCAGCCAAGGTCATGCCATAAGCGTGACAGTGTACCTGGAAAGGAACCAAGGAAATGACAGCAGGAAGCAGAAATGGTTGGTGTGGAGGTGCAAGCCAACTGCCAGTTGTTTGGTAATGAAATCAGCATTGTGAATACTCTGTCTGCTCCCTCTGCCAAAGCTTCTAGGTCGAATGGACCCCGTTCTCCACCTGGAACGGCTGTACGAAAAGAAGAATGAGACTTTAAGAATTATGCACATACACATGCACACATGTGTGTATATTTATGTATGTACTTCATCAACCAGCTATCCATGAGGACCAAAATGCTTCTGCCTAAACTGGGATATTTTAAACATTTTTCTTTCTACATGCAAGTGAGAACTGTAGTAACTTTTCTATGGGGTTAAAATGTAATCTTTTTGCATACAAGTCTTTATTGTATTTTATATTTCTAATGACGCAGATTTCTAGTTGATGGCTTGACAATTTGTAACTGATGATATGTTGACCACAGGTTTTTGTTTTCAAACTAGAGAATATGTCTATATACTTTGATGTAAATGTGTTTATATTTATTTGAAGTGAAAGAAATGCCAAGAAATACCCACTGTTTAGGCTTGCTCTCTCTTTGTCTTCGTCTCCATCTCCACCTCCCTCTCCCTCCCTTCTTCTCCCTCTGTCTCTCTCTCCTCTCTCTCTCTGTGTCTCTCCTCTCACTCTCTCTCTCTCTCTCCCTCTCCCTCTCCCTCTCCCTCTCCCTCTCCCTCTCTCTCTCTGTTATGTACCTTATTTAGAATAACAAAGTAAATGGGAAAATACCCTTGACTCTGGGCTAACCAATAGCTCTGGGGGTTAAACCCAGCATTTCCCACTATTACCAACTGACCCTTGGGTTCTTCCATTGCTTGACTCCATTCTATAGCCAATCAGAGCCTTTCTGAGGGATAAAAACTGATGTAGCAGGTCATATATACACAAAGGCAGCCCAAAGAAAGACCCAGAGACTACAGAAACTACACCAAAAGTGACACATAGTCCTGACACTTAGTGGGAAATGATGCTGAGTGTGGGCACTCTGCCAAGAAAGGGAATTAAACAGCAGACAGAGCCTGAGCGCTCTGTTCCACTAGCGAAGACTCGGGAGAGAAGTCTGCAGCTGTAGGGCATGAGTTTGCAGCATTTTACTGTAGGTTTTCTCTTAACATTTGAAGTTTCTATTTTATAGTATTTTGAGAGTTTTAAAAATAATCCTCATATCTGGACCAGACCCAGATGAGGTATTCTATCATTTTCATCAAGCTGTAAGAGACTTTGCCCTTACTATTTTAATATCTTGGATTTAATTAAAACTCCTGTTTAGTTCTTCACAATGAAAACTTGTTTGGTAGTTTTATAAAATTAATACTGATGTCATCCAAAAATTTTTTTTACACCAGCAACATTTTGTTTTTACATTCTTGGTGTAATGTATCCCTCCATCTGGTCCTTTTTGTTTAGAGGTACATTTGAAACAAGTAGACAGACCTACTAACGAGCAGCAATGAGCTTATCTTTAGGGAATCCTGAGGATTGAGGGAGCGCTCACATTGAAGAAGTGTGAGGTACCGTAGCCTCTTTTTCTAGATGTGAGTAGTGGAGTCTTGCTGGGTTGGCATTTCATGCCCGCACTGCTAGTGATGCAGCCCAGACCAAGTGGGTCACTTCCGCAAAGCAGTGCCCTGGCAGGAGACGTGGTGTCCATGGAGGTATGCTGGCCTTCCCTGGCTCATCCCGATAGAAGATGTACAAACAAACACAAGGAAATTGAGCTTACAAAGAGCCGTTCTTCTGAGTGGCTCTATTTGTCTACTTGCCTGTCTCCTCATCTCCCCTTCCTGAGTTGCTCTGTGTGTCTGTCTGCCCACCTACCTGCCTATCTCCCCATCTCCCCTTCTCTGGGTCTGTTTCCTCCACCTGCCCAACAAGACCAAATTTTTTTAAAGAAATAACTTTTGAAGACTGAAATTTCTATGTATTTTGTTATCTCATAAATGTTTGCAGCATCGTTTTCTGAGGGGAAATGTTTTTAGTTGTCTCAGTTGCTCAATACTTTTACCTAAATGTATTGTTTTCAGACTGTATGTCAACCACAGCCACAAGGACCAGGTTTGATCGAAATTTCCTAGTCACTGGTGTCTGCCTATCTTTGGTAAATTCATTACTATCTATCTTTGGTAAATTCATTACTATCTTAAATTGCCTAAAGTCCTAGTAAATAATAGCTCAGGGGATTTCTACTCATCACTACTAAAAGGGCACCGTGGTATGTGTTGGTACTTTGGGCAATAAGCAGCTGCTTGACTTGTCATTGCTTTGGAACAAGAACACCGGATGGATTTGCTGCACTAGTTACGCTTCACATGATTGAGCAGCTGGGTTTGCACATCCGCTGTGCTTGTTCAGGAACTCATCCTTTTGTGGTCTGGTAACATGATGTTAGAGTGCCTTTTTATATTTGTATATCCTGGAAATGTTCTGTGAAACATTTTGTATTTTTTCATTTGAGTATTATTGGAGCAATATGATCCTAGTGAGTTTTCCTTTATTTGAATGTACCAAGTGTCTCCTTTCCTATTCCTCTCCGTCTCTACTTGGAAATGAAAATGCTCAAGTTTTCTATAAAAATTATGTTTGACTTTGCAGTACTAACATGCTTTCTTCTTACAGAACTATAAACCATAGGTCAGTATTATAGGGGAACAGTGTTTTAAGATAGTGACAATCTGAGCGTGTTTGTAAAATGTAATTCTGTGTGTTTCCTACACGGTGATCTGAAGACTCAATGCAAGTATCTTTTGTTTAGTAGTTTTGTCTACAGACTACGCTTCAGCATGTGCAATATATCCTTGCAAAGCACGATGATACACATCTTGTGCCAGTGTTACATTTTGTAAAATGTATTTGTAACAGCATAAACTATTATGTGATGATTTCGGTGAGATTTTTGTCTGTACTTTTAAGATGTAGATTGAAGTTGAATGACTTTGGTAAATTTCCTGAGTATAAAAATGAGGACAAATAGCTATCAGTTCAGCGAAGGACTTTGGACCGGGATGAATCTTCCCAAGCACAGTTTAATACTTTCCCAACTACTGAATGCTCTACTAATGCAATGAAGAACTTACCTGTAATATACGATGGACATGCATTCAGGTGGTTATTTTTACAAATAAAAACGGTACAAATATTGTTGCAATGTTTGTTTTCTTTCATTCTTCAAATGTATGCTTTTTCAAAATTATTCTAATTTAAGTCTTTTCCCTACCCCAACACCAAACCATATTAATTCTGAAAATAATCAAGATTTGTTAATTATGCTTAAATTGTCACACTGGAGGGGGAGAGAGTCATTTATCTATGCCTCCAACATTTTTCATAAAGAAGTTAAGCTGAATTATAATGAAATTCATGTGATAAGCCAGAAGCAGAAAAGCCATGCAATCCTAAGGACCATCAAGCTTGACAGAGTAGCTGTGACTGAACTTGACGTTGCTGTAAACGTCCTTGTGGTGAGAGGGATGTATAATGTCACATCTATCAAACAGGAAGAGGTCACATAGGTCCTCAAACTTGTGAAGCCTATTGTCTGGTCTGCTGTCACCACTACTGTGTGTGGCTTGATGACAGCTAAAGATTGGCCTCTGCACCATCCTTAATGGTGGGATGTGCTTCTCCATCTGTCCTAAATTTCTCCCCTGAATTATTAGCTTCAAGAACAGTGCCTGGAAAAGCTGAAGAGCAACCCTAAAGATAGTGCTTCCAGCTAATGAGAAAGAGACTTGGTCATATGGCTTTCCCAAGTACCTCAAGTCACAGAGTCATAGAATACATGTCATCTTAGTTCTTAAAGACCAGCCCCATCGCCAGCTTTTTTTATGAAGAAACTGAATTTCAGAGAAGTTCTGCATATGCTCAGATTTGCAGAGTTAATGGTATGAAAACAGTATTTATGCTTCTGGATATTCTTCCCACTGAGCCACTCTGCCATAAAGTGCTTGTTTTTTTCTAATAAATATGTTTTGGAAAGTTTTGTATTTTTCTTTATCTAAATATACAAATCTGGATTTTTCCTTAAGGACTGTAAGTCATGAACCATACCATAAGCGAGAGCTCCCTGTTCATTGAGAGTAAAATGAGCATATATTAGTTATACATAAGCATGTATCAAATGCCCCCAGACTCAGTCACTTAGCAACAAATATTTATTCTCTTGTTTTCTGTGGATCTGTCATGCTTTTCTTAGGTCTTCTGCTCCAGAGTTTCTCATAGAATCCAGGGTTGACCCATATCTAAGCTATGTATATGGCTGTTGGCAGGGATTCCTCATGGTTTGTTGAGATGGCTGTGTTTCTTCATGCCACCTGGCAGCTTCTGCTGCACCAACCTCTCCAAAGTTAAGTTCACAACATGACATCTTCCTTTGGGAAAACAGGCAAACTGAGAAAGTCTAGAGAGAGAGAAAGAACAAAATGTAACTCTGGTCATTCTGAGTCTTTGAAATGATATCACACCATTTCCCTTATATTCTTTAGAAATGGGCTACTAGAGCCTGTCTATAGTCACAGGTACATTATGGCTGCAGGTGTGAGGACCAGGAGGCAGGAATCACTGGGAGCTCACACTGTTCTGTCACAGTGTCCTTGGGACTTAGCTCCTTAGCTTCATAAAGTCCTTTGGAGAATAATGTGGAGATCCCTAATTTTACTTGTGCTGTCATAAGCAAGAAAGGAGAACAATGGCTCTCCTGAAGTATAATTGTATAATTATCATCTCGGTGTGGCCCTTTCTCTATAAATTGCTTATCAAAAGATCCTTCTCTGATTCCACTCGGTAGGGTTGGATCCTCATAGCTCCATTCTTCAGTTAACATGCTTAATATGTTCCAGAATTAGCTTAGAAGACTCAAATTTTTTCAGCTTAGAAGGCTACTAACACAATGTAAAGACTCGTAACACAATGTAACAGACCTACGGATTGCCTCTTTAGCATATTTCACTCTGAAGGCACTTTGGCTGTGAAATAAGAAGCAGGAAATGGCTGTGTCATTGGTTCATCCCCAAGCTCTCCGGAAGTTGTTGGAAGTTTGTGGTTGGTCCAGTGGCTGGGGTTGAAGATTGGAGGGGCTACAAACAGCATTTACTGTTTGGAGACTAAATGTGCCATGCAGTTCAGTAACCTGTTGTTCAACATCTTACCCAAAGGCCAGTGGTCCCTTTCTCCTTGGTTCTTCTACTTACTCTCCTCTTGTTTCTCAATCATTCCTTCATCAACTTAGAGCCTGTGAAATCAGTCATATTTCCTTATCTCCCACAAGGAATTGTATAAAGAGGCTCTGATATGTGTCCCATCATAAGGAGAGTTTACATGAGAAGATAATCTAAGTTCATGTACCCTGGTTTTTTCCCAGGAGAGATTTTAAACAGGTGAGTGGATAAGAGGAAAGCATTGTGGATTCAAGGTGAGTATCTAATTATTAGAAGTAAACACACTCACATGTGCACACATCCATACTCCTTGTCTCAGGCAAGGGTCATTGTATCTACTTTTTAGGTACTTCTTACAAAGATGGGAGCATATGGCCCAGTATCAGCGGGTAAGGACTGGAAAGACAACACTGTGTGTTCTACATACAAGTGGACACAGTCTCTATCTCTAAGTGACAACTGGAGTATATTTAAATGG